ACTCCCTATCCCATAATCAGCAGAATTAACGCATACCTGTTGACCGTCGAGGCCTTCAAACAGAGCCACCCCTCCAACCAACCCGACTGTGTGTGTGAGAGAGAGAGAGAGAGAGAGAGAGAGAGATAAGTGGATTTCCGTTTGCAAAATAATTAATTTTTATTTTTACTCACAGAATATCTAAATATAAAATAACATTAAATCAGAAAAATTAAGTGCAAGCTAAAAGTTGTTTATAACTCGCAACGACATCATTGCACTCTCTATGCTGTACTCCCCATACACTACTCCCACCACTGCAGCGATTCATTTAATTTTTAATCTAATCCTTGTTTCATATCATGTCAACCATTAATTTAGTTAATGTTATCCCAAATGAAATATTGATGAGCGCTGAGAGAGAGAGAGAGAGAGAGAGAGAGAGAGAGAGATTCATAAATCACAGACTGATGTTATATTCATATTTTTCACTCCAACCCCCAATACCCGTCCAAAAACATATGTATTATAGACAATGTGATTGATCTGGATAAGTGGATTTCCGTTTGCAAAATAATTAATTTTTATTTTTACTCACAGAATATCTAAATATAAAATAACATTAAATCAGGAAAATTAAGTGCAAGCTAAAAGTTGTTTATAACTCGCAACGACATCATTGCACTCTCTATGCTGTACTCCCCATACACTACTCCCACCACTGCAGCGAATCATTTAATTTTTAATCTAATCCTTGTTTCATATCATGTCAACCATTAATTTAGTTAATGTTATCCCAAATGAAATATTGATGAGCGATGAGAGAGAGAGAGAGAGAGAGAGAGAGAGAGTTTTCAGGAGTAGTGATGAAAAAGAAGATAAAAAAGATTATTTTCTTTGACGACAACACCAACACATAGAAAGTGTACACAAAATAATTTTTTAGTTGAAATTCTCGTAAAAAATGAACACAATTTAAAAGTCTGATATAACTTTCTAAAAAGTATACAACTATAAAAAATACAAATTTAATAAAATAATCCGGATTGTAAATAAACACACGAATGAACATAAATTATATTACCTTATACTGTAAAATGTATTATTCACTGATTTAGTAAACAGTGTATTTTCTCTATGAGTTTGTCATACATTGTAATACTGAGCATTTAAAGTTATTTTTATACAGAATATTCTTTAATAGTGAATAGAAAAATATGGTATTTAAGATTAGCTTAAATTACAAATAAATACAATATATAACTTCAATGTCTATTTAAATAATGCAAGTATTGATTTAATAATACAAATCTTGAACGTTAGAAATATACATCTGGTGTTTTATTACAAGTTAAAACTGATTGATATTATATAACAGTTTTGGCTAAAATTATTTGTTTTTCATACGGTATGTGGCAAAACACGAAAATGCTGTTTAGCATAATGTTTATGCATATAATGTATTAAAGTAGGCATTTCACTGGCATTTTATTTCTATATGTGTGCCATAATAATAATTCTTGTGATAAATAGTACCAGAATTACACAAAATTCTTTGCATACTTTACATCATTAAGTATAAGAATAAGCATTACTGGCAAACATTTATTATTAATAAATTATTCCCATTTTTAGAGATTTGAAAGTCATTGTAAATTCTTGAGATTCATTATAATAAGTAGTTAAATATTCTGGAAACTTATAAAGTTTATGGAATTAGCAATTTAATGATAATTTAGCTTGATGCATTGATGTTAAATATTGATTTTAAAATTTATTACAGTGAAGGTAATACCGTAATTGCAATTAAACTATTTGTTTCAAACTTATGGTTAATAAAATTTTTATAATTAAATTAAATTGATACTCATCTATGATATTTTAGTACAAATTCTAATTGTGAATCAAATTGTAAGTAACCTTGTTACATTTATAAGAATGATGAAAACTATATATGTTTTATTATGAACAATATCAAAATACAATTAATATTAAATAATTTTGACCATTCATCAAAATATTAAAGTGTGCTGGGAATTTTAATAACGTAAGATATTATGTTAACGTGTAATACATAAATATCATAAATATTTGTTAATATAAAAATTGTCATAAATATTAATATGGTTGCATAATATATTTTTAAGTGCATCAGAATTAAATAAAAAAATTTCAATTCAAGTACAGAATTATAAAAAAAACACGAATATTCTGAACGGAATATATTATGAATTTCATTTCCTTTCATATTGTATAGAAATAGATGTAAAAAATTATTTTCATATATAAAATCAAAAACTTTTCTCTCAGAAAAACATAAATTTTTACCAGAATATAGAAATTATTAATATTTGAAAAACAAGTGTGAAATTCAATTCAAATTCAAACTTTTATCTCAAATGTTAACCAAAAATAGATGTGAAAAAACTTCAAACATATAAAATATATATACAGTATATAATCCTATAAAACATAAATATCTGTAAATAGTAACACGGAACATTTGATAATGTTTAACCAAAATCATAAATAAACAATAGTATTAAATAATTAATATAAAAAAATTATATTTACTTTTATCCTTAGCTTTGATTTCATCGATCTTTTTCAGTACAATGAGGTTCTGAAGGGGTTGTATACCCGACACGATAGCCTCGGCAATAGCCCGGGCCTTAGCCCTCAAAACGGGATCTTTGGGCAGTAGTGGCGGACCCGTACTCTTGTAGGCCTCGTCGATGTACTCAATGATAGCCATCGACTCGACCAGTATTGTGCTGTCATCGATGGCCAGTGCGGGCACCTGTAGGCAGGGATTCAGACTCCGAAACTCCGGCGAAAATTGTTCTGATGAAACCAAATTGATTGGTTTATTCACGTACTCAATGCCCTTAAGTGCCAGTGCTATGGTGTATTGAATTGATTTATAATTTTATTAAACATTACAAGTACCTTGTATAGTAATTACAGTAAATTTAAATATGGATTAAAAAATAATGATATACAGGTACTGTATTCAATTATAAAAATTAGTTATCAATTTGTATATGAGAATTATAAACATGCGAGATCAAGTAAATGAATGTGTGTTTTATTTCAGTAATTAGTAAAATATATGTTTTACTGACAGTGAGTGTAAACATGATAACTTCAGAGACATTGACAGTTGATATGTGTTTTAAATCACTTCACAGATAATAAGAAACATTTCCAATACGAAATATATTATAAGATATATCTTATTAAATATAAAAATTGTAATTTTAATCCATAGTAATCTAATATATAAAAAGTTAACAAGTACAGGATAAGTATTGTATTTATCATTTAATGTGTGTCAGTAATTTTTAATAATAGTTTAAGGATTTATTCAGAATATAATTGTTATCTCAATATAACACTCATATATCATATTCTACTTAAGTATATGAAGTATTTATACACAAATAATTTATTGAATAATATGTTATATAAATAGAAAGCTATTTTTGTGTGCGATTATGTATAAGCATTTATTATTCAACAATTTCTATCTGAGTGTTTTCGAAAATAAACATGTTCATTTATCAATATATAGCCGGTAATAATAATATCCAAGTGTATGCACATGTGATTAGAAAATAATATTATATATAGTATAATATGCTAGGACAATACAGTTTTATATTACACATTTGTTATGTTTAATTGTAACTACAGAGTATAAGATAGTATACAAGTTATGTTTATAAAACATTTATATTTATAAAATATAATCTAAAATTATTACTAATTTTTAACTGTAAGTTACCGTACAGTATAGCAGTAATATTGGATGAATGTAAATCTAATTGCATACCTGTCCTCACACGCCAGGAACATGAGCTCCGGTAGTAATTGTAGAGAACGGGCTAATAACACAATAAACATAAATAAAACATGAATACATCTATAAATAGCTAAATAATACGTGTAGTTAAAAACAAATACTTTTGGTGCCATAGCGTGTCTACAAAACGGAAAAATTAATTAAACTATAATTTTGACAATTAACTGATAAATCAATTCAATTAACAGACAACAAATACTGTATAATAGTCTTCCCTAAATGGTAGTATCCAAATGTTGTTGTCAACTCATATAAGCAAATATTCTGCACATTCTCCGTATAACTAGTTATATATTCTCACAAAATATCCTTGAATTGAAGGCCAGAAAACCTGTCTAATAACGTAATGTTATTTTGGTGGTGAAAAATACCCGCGATTTACACTTAGATAACGGTGCACTTTGAACTCGATTAGCATTATTTAGAGGTTAACCCCCTTTCCCATGGAAACCCAATATTTTTTGTGAACAAACTATATTCCGATAATTCTAAAAATATTAGATATCCCAGTATAATTTGATATCAATTTATGTGATAAGCATTTTGTAAACCAAGTATTTTTGTAAAAACCATTTGTAAACTATTAGTTGCTAACCAAGTGTATGTATATGGTTAAAATATTTAATAAAGCAAATATTTATGTAAACGTAATTTTCAAAATCGGTGACAATACAGAAAATAGTTTATAAATAAAATAATAAAAATTACCTGGCTTAGTTATTTCTAGCTAAATTGTCTCATACGATGGCCATTGATCTGTATTTCATGACTTTAAGTCCACCCTCGCGTGCGGTACTTATGTTAGCAAAACATCTCAATATCCCCGTTAATGTCAAGCACCTGGACATCAGAAACGGCGAACACCTGACCCCTGACTACGAAAAGGTAAACCCGGTTCAGAAAGTGCCGGCAATTGTGGACCAGGGGTTTCCCGTGTGGGAAAGTCGTGCTATAATGCAATACCTGTGCAACAAATACGCGCCCAATAGTCCCCTCTATCCGCAAGACCTGAAGAAACGGGCGATTGTGGACAGACTACTCTACTTCGACACCACGTACTACCAGTCCATTCGCGAGGCTCTGTTACTCAAAGTGGTCCGACGTATAGATCCCACGGAATTTCAGATCAAAAACTACAAGAATGTCTTAAAACTGATGGACACCCTAATTGGCGACCAGAGATACCTGTGCGGCGATGAGCTGACCATAGCTGACATCTCGGCCCTCGCGACCAGTACTGTGCTGTCCATCAATGGCTTTAAAGATGTCGAGGATTTACCACATTTGAAGGCATGGTATGAACGGCTGTCCAAAGAGTTACCCTATTTTGATGAAGTCAATGGACAGGTACCTGATTTGTTTAAGAAGTTTCAGACCGA